TGTGTGTCCTTCCAAGCCAAGGCACCCTTAGGCTTCCCTGCCAGGATCTGAACATGGGAGGAGGAGGAGGAGGGGAGTGTGTCTGTCACCAAGAGGCTGAGGGCTGGTGCCCTTGTTTCCCCCCTGCCCCATTTCCCTCTTAATCTCTGGCGGTAAACTGTCCCCCCCCACCTCCCGCCTTGTTCCTTCCTGCAGATGACATGACCTGGGTCAGAATCACACTTAGCCCAGAGGCACAGGAGTGTGTGTGTTTGTGTGTGTGCGTGTGGCACCACTATACGCAGAAGCAGGGTAGAGGGATGTGTGAGACGCTCCCCCTCTCCTCTCTCACCATCCACCCCCAGAAAACAGGCACCTGCCAGCCCTGACCCCCACCCCCCCGCCCCAAAGGGCTACCTGATCGCTGATGGTCGGCCGGAGCTGCATCTTGATGAAGCGGAAGCCGACGACCGGCAGGACGCAGAGGATCACACACAGGAAGACCGAGAGCCACACGTTGGGCTGGTTCAAGGTATTCCGAGCTGTCCCTGGAAGGGGGGGGGGGCAAGACACAGACAAGGCAGGTCGCACAAAATGCTCTCCCCCCACTTTCCACTGGCGCCCCTATGGCCGTGGCTGTCTGGAAAGGGGGGGGGATGTTGCTTCTTCCAAAATAGGGTGTGGGTTTGGGGGGGGGCTTTCCCTCCTGACGCGTGATGCCCAGAGCATCACGCATTCTTCAGCAGGGAGCCCGATTCTGCTGGGCCATGAAGCCCCAGGTCGTGTGGGCCCACCCCATCTGCAGAGGCCACCGGGCGGTCCCCCCCCCCCGAACTGCAGCTGCCCTGTTTCCAGGCTGCATGGGGGCAGGGTGGCTGACGGCACCGATCCCGGTCCCAGGGAGGTTGGAATCCTTCCAGCTTCCTCCCTCCACAGCCCCCAGGACTGGGACCCTCCCGCTGGTCTTCAAGGGGGGGTGCGTGCCCCAGGGAGGGTGTTGTTCTGCCTCCTGGAAAAGAAAGGCAGCTCTCCCCCTCTCCCCCCCCCAAATGAAATACATACCAACGAAAGGGAAGGAAGCGGTGAAGATCAAGTAGGTGCCGTTGCTGTGCATGGTGAAGGTGATGCCGAAATACACCCCCAGGCTGCCCCAGATGAACATTTGGTTCACAGCCGTCCAGTACGCCGTGTCCAGGCCCATCTGCAAAAGACCGGCCAGCCGTGGCTTCAGGGCAGCCTCTCGGAGCGGACGGGCAAACGGGGCGTGGCACCCGTGTCCACCACCCTCCTCGGGGGCAGGCGGCTGTTGTGCGCCCGATTCGGCTGCTGGCCACGGGAGCCCCTCACGACCCTCCCACGGAAAGGAGAGCCTGCAGGGGCCGGAGAGCAGCTCTGGCCACGTTCGTTCCTCAGCCCTCGGGTACCGGCCACAGGGGGCACGCTCCACCTGGCTGGACCAGCAGGGCCGCCGTTCACGTCCCCCGAGGGGGCAGGAGGGTGTCGGCCGCCTCAGGACAAGGCCCTGGCCCTCGCGCATCGCACACGAGGGTGCCTCTCCGGACAGGGGCCTGTGGAGGTCCAAGGGCTGCCTGCACACCCAGCCACCTAGTTCTTCCCAAGCCCCAGGACCAGCCCGATAAAACCAGGGCCTTGGGGTCCCCTCCTCCCTGTGAGCAGCTGCTCTTAAAGTGGGGAGGAAGGAGCCTTCGTGGCAAAGCTCCACCTCACCGCTCGCTCTTGAGCCTCACGACAGCAGAGTGGTGAAAGCCAGCAGAGACAGACAAGAATGAATCTTACCAGAATTAATTGCATTTTGTCTTTAAATGGGGTTCCTAGCCTAGTCGACCGTAGAGATGCCGTGCGCGTATTCTACCTTGGCTCCAGCGCTTCAACGCTTCTTCCGCACAAGAGGTCACCAGGCCTCACGGAGGTGTGTGCAGTGCCTGGGGCAGCCCCCCCCCCCCCCCCCCCAGTTACCTGGACAGACACCACAATGAGCAGGCAGGTCTGAGCCATGAGTGCGAAGGAATGGTAGTCGTCGATCGCCTTCCCGTCGCTCCGCACGGAGTTGAACAGGGTCCCGTAAGGGACGAAGAAGAGCACCAGGGAGCTGTAGACGCTGTAGAGGGTGCACTTGACAAACTCCCTCTTGTTGAAGGAGAGGTTCTGCTGCCCGGGGGTGTAGAGCTGCGGGAACTGCAGGCTCCAGTGGTCGTCCACGTCCTGGGCGGGTGGGGGTGGGGGACAAGAAGAAGAGGAGGCTGACCACTATCTCAGGAGTAGAGGTGGCCCGGGGGGAGGGGCTCCTCTCCCACCCACCACCCACCCCAAAGGTGTTGCCCTTTGGCTCCATTCCTCCACCACAACAAAGCCTACAGATCTCTTTCCCCCCCCCTTTACCAGAGGACGGATCCCACACGCCCGAGGACGGCAAGCGCCCGCGCCCAACCGCGTGTGCCTCTGGAGCCTTGGCCCAGCCGCCCGGCCCTGTGGCACTGCCTGCTCAGGGCGGGAGCAAGCCCTTCCAGCTAGACGGGACGCTTGCATCAGGACCGGCGGGGTCCCACCTCCAGCATCCACAGGTGGCCGGACACCCGGCCGAGGCGAACCCCAAGCTCCCCTACCTGGTCAAAGAGGCTCATTCCGAGCACAGGCATGGAGGTGTACACCATGTTGTAGAGGGTGATGAACCATTCGTCGTACACCGTCTGCGGAGGAGAAAGGCCGGTGGGGGAGGGGCCAGCTAGCCACCCCACAGGGCCCCAACAGGGGCGCAAAGGGGCCCAAGGGGCGAAGGGAGAGCCCCCCACCCCGCCCCCCGTGGCAGCTGGTGCTCGTTCCTGAGCAGGGCGAGGACTACTAGCAAGAGGCACGGATCCTTCTGGGCAGGAACGAGGTCCGAGCTGGCCTTCATCACTCGGCTTGGGCTGTTGAGAAGCCAGCGGGGCAGACAAGGGTTGGCGATGCCCTGGAGAAAGGTACGCCAAGAAGCCGCCGGGGGAGCCCCAACGTCAAGGGTGCCTTGGGGTTGGGCCAGCCGGGAGTGCGAGATCAGGCACTCGGAGGTGAGCCTGGTGGGGGCGGGGGTGGGAGGGAAAAGGCTTACGGGATGACCCTGACACCTAGTTTAGGCCTCCTTCAGTCTTGAGAGACTAAGGCAACCTGCTCTGTATGGAGGACTAGTGTGGTGGAGAAGGCCAGTTCGAGAGTGACCGTCCCTTCCACCCTGAAGGCACATGCAGCTTGTCCCCTGTCCAGCTCCCCGATTTGGCTGGTTTTTGGGACTGCCTCTTGGCCTCAGCCTGACACCAAGGCAAAAGCAAAGCAGGTTCTGGCCACCGAGTCAGAAGCTGATCTGGCAAATGGCGGCAATTCCTGGCTCCACCGTTTTTGGACCCCAAGGGCAGCCCAGGCGAGATGGTGAACTACTTTATCTAGGTCAGAATTAGAGACTGGGATCTTTTTGTTCATATACGAATACCCTCGTCGCAACTGGCCCTAAGGAAGGCCCTGCTCGTCCTGCCTGGGGCACCCAGGGCGCCGCTCTCTTCCCGCTCGGCTGGCCACTCACCATGAGGCCCCGCAGGGAGACTCGTCCTCCCGCCCCTTGCCTGGAGTGGCCAGCCGGGCAGGAAGAGAGTGGCGCTCCGGGCGCCTCGGGCAGGATGCCTGAGTGGACGGCCCGCTCCCAGGGGCCAGACATCTCAGGAGGACTGGCTGCAACAGGGATATTCGTATTTGTAATTGTCCATGAATTTCCCCATCTCTTATGTTTATGCAGCTTACACTCATTACTGGTGTTAATACGGCCACGGTCCCCTGAACATTTTCTATGCCGACGTCCCCTCTCCTGACACACAGGATGTACAAGGAGAGCAACAACCAAGGCGAGTCAGAGCAACCCCCTCAAGAGTTCCCAAGGCCCAAAAGGCTCAGATGTCCCTTCTCCTGGGGATGATGCTCTGAGACCCTCGTGCATACAGCTTGGCCAAGGCCCCCTGGGTGGCTGGGCACCTGGCTCCCTCCCCCTCACATGCTGGTCTGGCCCCTCTCCTGGGGATTCAAGCTCCCGACCCCCAGCTCTGAAGGCAGGGGCTCCAACCCAGTAACCTCCAGCGAGGCAAAGCAATAGCTCTCAAGTGTTGATGACCAAATCCCTGCTCTGATTCCTCTCCCCGCCCCCCCCCCGTTTGCCCCTCTGGTCAGCAGGGCTGTTGTTACTTTGTAGCCTGGGAACTGACATTATTCATGGCCGGAGAGTCTTGTCCCCTTGCTAACGAGAGCCGTTGCCCATCATTTTGCCCCTTATCTGTGTCTCCACCTGCATCCTGGGGAACCACGTATGAATACGACAGTCATGGCGTCTCATGACGTCTCAACTCGGGTCTGAGGAAATGGACTTGACCCACGAAAGCCCCCATTAAAATGCAACACTTCGTCTTTAAGGCAGTTTTTGTCTCTTGCTTTTGGGTTTGTTTTCTGTCTGGTATGTGTCTGCTTGCACAGTCTGCTTTCAAAAACTGCAGCTCTCCAGAGTTTATACTTGCACGTTCTATTCTTTCAAAAGCCTCCAGTGCATTAGGGTAGGATCCTGCTTCACAGCTAAAAATACCAGGAAACAGTCCAAGATTACCTTTCCCTATCATGCCTGCCTTGCCAGCAGGAAAAAAGATGCTGAGCGGGACACAGCAAAGAGCAGCCGAAATGCTGACAACACCCATGCCAGCTGTCAAGATGGTCATCTCTCCAGGGATGCCTTCTTGCTCACTATCACTCCCAAAGAGTCACCAAGCAAGGGTGACTCCTCTCCCACTATCACTCCCAAAGAGTCACCAAGCAAGGGAAAGTCCCAGAACCCCCCTTTTTTTGCCATCAGCTAACTACATCCCACCCCAAAGGAAAGCATCTGCCATGGCTGGGTTTTGACAAGCTATTTAGGTGTTTGCTGCCTGGGGTAGAAAGCAATCTCAAGTGTGTAGAAGAAACATTCTGTTCAAATAGCGAGCACTGTGATCAAACACCTGCTTGCAGTTATTAAACCACAGCAGCTAATTTACCCAGGTGAGCAAGCAGAGGGATGTGTGAACTAGCCGTTGGTCAGGCTTCTCCCTCTCCCTCTCCCTCTCCCCTCTGCAGCTCCTCTCTGGGTGTTTCTGTTTGTTCAAAGCCACTTGTTCCTGTGGGAGAGCTCATCTTGCTCAAGGGTAACCATTCCTCTATGAGAGAAAGCCATGAACTTCCTAAAGCAAGAAATTTGCCAATGGCTATGAAATACACCAACAAGCAGGTGAAGCCAGAATTTATGGAATTTTTCCTATTTAAAACCAGTATAGCCAGGGACCTGGATTTTCTAAATCCATGGTCCCCAACCTTTTTAACTCAATGGACGGGTGGGGAAGGCGGGGCACACACACACACACACACACACACACGCGTGCTCGCGCAAGTACGCAGAGGAGCAGGCTCTTCGTTCTTATTACCCCTTCAAAAGGCTACCCCTTTGAGAACTCCAGGCAATTCCCCACTGAATCCAGAAGAGGGCAGCACCAGCCTTTGAAACCAACACAGCTGCTGCCCTGCAAGAAAGGGAAAGATTCTCCACCCACCCGGGCTGAAATCTAAGAAATCTCAGCCTCTTCGGTGGCTCCTGCAAGGAAAGGGGTGGGGGGTGCCCTGGCTTCTGGCTGCTCCTTCTGGGACCATTTCTGCCCCAGACAGCTAACCCATCTGGGGCACCTCCAGCTCCCGGTCCACGTGCCACGGAGGGAAGCCTCCCACCACAAGTAAGACATGAATGCCAGGGCTTCTTCCTCTTCCTCCTTAGCCCAGCCCAGATTTTCAGAGTCCCCCAAACCCTGGATCCAGGGAGCTACAGATGGCCATCTTCATCCGTGGCCCTCTGTGGCCTTCTCTTCTCTCCCTGACAACCCCCCCCCCCCGCCTAAGATCTTCCACTCCAAGCTAGGGTCCAGAGCCCCCTGAAGATGGTGTGCCTCCTTAAAGAGAACCAGGGCTGTTAAGTGGCTGCAGGGGCCAGTCCCACCCGTGGCCTCTTTAAACCGAGCCGTCTTGCAAGACAAGAACACGGGGGGGGGGCTCTTTTGGGGAGCAAAGGACAGCCTGAAGCGAGAGCTGCCTTTGGCCTCCCGGCTGGCAGAGGGCAAAGAAGAGGGTCCCTGAGCTCTGTTTTCTTCCAGGAGGGCTGGGGGGAGCCCGCGGCGGGCAGGGGGTGCCGATTCCCACCTGTGGACTGGACATCTGCTGGACTAGGAGGAGAGAGGGAGAGAAGGAGGGAGGGGCAGCCCTCCCCCCAACAGGTGTCTTGGACACAAGGTGGCCTCTGTGCCAGGGGGACTCTGTGGGACACCCAGCATCCCTCTTGGGGGGGGGCACGTGGGTTATACGCAAAGTCATATTTTGAAAGGGAAAGAAGGTGATAAGCCAGGAGAAGAATCGAAGTATTTTTGGAGTGGAATGGGGCGAAAAGTTTTACAAGGGCCACCTGGTCCCAAGAGTGAAGATGGCAACAGATGGGGAAGGTTTAACTTGCATTGTGTCAGATTATGTACTTTATGTTAGTTTTGTTACTGTTATTTTCTTTAATGTTAAATGTTAGAAATTGATCAATAAATGACATTACGCACCTCTAAAAAAGGAGGGGGGAGGGGGAAAGCAAAGACGTGTCCGGGGAAGCTGGGCCTACCTGTGCCGAGAAGCCGGAGAAGAAGCCGTACCAGAAGTGGACCAGGGTGAAGGTGAAGTTCTTGTAGAAGAAGTAGGCCAGGAACTTGCACATGCGCAGGTAAGACCAGCGCCCGTGGACCAGGAGCAGCCGCTGCAGGTACCGGAACTGGGCGAAGGAGAAGTCGCTGGACAGGACCGCCTGCATCCCCTCCTGGCCACTGATGCCGACGCCAATGTGGGCAGCTGGAAGAGCGGGGGGGCAGGAGGTGCCCGGTTACGCGGGTTGGGCAGCCAAGCCCATCGCGGCAGCCCCTCTCGCGCAGCCTACGAGCCAGCGAAGGGAGACGGGGGGGGGCTCCCGGGTCTCAGGTGGCAGAGAGTGGCTGGCCTTCCTCCAGGGCCACCCCCTCGTCTTGGCAAAGGCCTGGGGGCAACGCTCCACAGGAAGGACCTTGCTTGAGCACCATCTCTTAATCGAAAGCGCTCCCCGCCCCCCCACCCCCAAAAATCCTTGTTTTCCCAAATGAACAACATGCCAATTAGCAAGGAGCCCTCCTGAACAGCTCCAACTTAAGCCACCTTGGGTTCCTTTAAAGAGAAAGGCAGGGTAAAAATATTTTAAACAAACAAACCAATCAAGCAAGGAAGCAAGCAAGCAAGCTTGGCTGTTTGGGAAAATGTACATTTCAAAGCTGCAAAGACTAAGCCAGCTCTTCTTGTGGAGGGAAGCGGACGAGACATCTGTGCCCCATGGGGAGGGGAAGGGGCATCCACTTCCTTGAGGGTGCCAGGACGACCCTAGAAGTGGGCTCCTGCCAGAAGGCCAGGTCTCGCCCCCCAGGGCAGGCACCTGATGCGCCGCCTCGAGGGATCGGGGCCGAAAGGACATTTCGCGCAGACCCAGAAATTGAGTTCGGTTGAGTTGGGCCCTGCTCAGGGTCATGCTCCCAAAAGGGAGCGGAAGAGGCTCCCGCCTTATCCAGGCACCGGCAAGAGGGAGGAGATGCCCAGCGAGCGGGCGAGCGGCTGGGCCGCCCCACGGGCACACTCACTCTTGATCATGCTGACGTCGTTGGCGCCGTCCCCGATGGCCAGCGTCACGGCGTTCTTGTGCTTCTTCACCAGCTCCACCACCTGCGCCTTCTGCAGAGGGGTCACCCGGCAGCAGATCACCGCCTTGCAGAGACAGGCCGTCCGCACCAGCTCTCGTCCCAGCTTCCCTTCCAGCGCGAAGGCCTGCGAGGAGCAGGAAGGAAGGAGAAGGGGAGGAGAGGAGATACCCTACACACACACACACACACAGAGCCACACGCAGCTCCCCTTTCACTCCCAGAGGGAAGAGGCTCAACGCAGGATTTGGGATTCCTGCCCCGAGCAGGGGATGGGACTCAATGGCCTTAGAGGCCCCCTTCCAACTCCATCCTTCTATCACCCTATGGATGCAGGGTTCGAATGCGGAGCCTGCCTGGTGGTGGTGGTGGTGGTGGGAGGAGGGTCTCAAGTTGGAGCAGGACTTCGGAGATCACTGGGTTCACACCCTGTGCTTGGCCTTTCAACTCAACAGGTAACGGGGGGGGGCAAGTTACTACCTCTCTCTCTCTTTCTCTCTGTCCTCCCCCCACCCCCAATCTCCCCACCTGGACCTTGTGAAGACAGAGCGGAGGGAACATAGTCACGCATGCCTTGCCAGCACTGGGAGAGCAGGGCGAGGGAAATGGAACCCATTCTTTCAACAAAGGCAATCAAGTCCCCTGCAGGACGAGATCCCACGGCCGGCCAGCGTGCGGCATCCGAGTGAGCAAGTCTCTCCTCTGATGTCCCAAGAGGGGCTCCTCCAGGAACGGGACGGCGCCCTCCACGTAGCCTTGGGAAGGCCACTCCAGACGCAACACCGCAAAGCTCGCCCGGGTTCGTCAGCCTTGGTGGCTGCTTGCGACGGCCCCGCCTGGCTTCCTTCTTCCTTCCGTGATGTGGCTGGCTGTGCCTGCCCCCCCCGCCCCGATTCTGCTGGGCGTAAGGATGGGTGTAAGCAGCTTCAGCACCTGAGGAGCCCCACGCTGTGTGAACGCACGTTCCGGTGTGCTCCTCACTCCCTCTGTCGCCCCCCCCAAATTCCACTGCTTCCCTAGGCACCCCAGGTTTGGCCTAGCTGGCTGGAGGAGAGAGGGAGAGACTGGGGAGGGGGGGCAGCTGGCCGAGCACCCTGCTTCCCGCTGGGCAGGAGCCCCAACGGCCGCCCTGCGCTGGAGGAAAGGAGCCTCTGCCTCGCCTCGCCCACAGGCGCACGCAACCCCAGAGTGTTCCCTCTCCCCCCCGCCTCCTTACCAAGCTGTGACCATTGATGACCAGGCCGTATTCCCCGTTGGGCTGCTCGTCGGGCAAGACCGCCGGCCTGCTTGGCTCCACGGCCACCGTGTCAAGCTCTTCTTCCTCGTCAGCATCAGGCTGCATCTTCTCCCTGGCTTCCCTGAAAGGAAGAGCCACCCCAGAGGAGGCTCTGGGCACCACCTTCCGGCTGGGTCAGCCCTCCCCCCTGCCCCGCAATCAGAAAGGGGGAGAGGGAGTCTAAGAAGGCAAAATTTAGTGCCCCCCCCCGAGAGTAGCCCCCGGCACACTGCCTCCTACTCCCAGCCTTGAACCACACAGGGGGCCTCGGATATGGGTCCAGCCAGTGTGGACTCCAGGCTGCCCTGCCAGAGGCCCCTGGGCCAGGCCTCCTGCCGACGGGGCAGGAAGGAAGCCGGCTGTGTACTGGGCACCACCGGCTTCATTCTGACTAGCGTGCCCATCGACACATGGTGCCACCGCCACCCTCTCACCCACCCACCCTGTCCCTGCCTTGTTGCACCCAGCAGCTCCCCCACTGGGTACCCGTGGAACCATTCTCCCCATCTTGAGCCTGGCAGTACAGAACCAGGAACAAAAGGGAAAGAAGGCAGTGTGCCCCCCCCCCGGCAAGAGGACCAGCCTCTGCTGCCCTCCCTTCTACAGCAGGTGCAGAAAGGGAATGGACTCACCAGGCCCCCAACCATGGCAGCAGACGGTGCCGCCTGGCAGGAAGGAGGGCAGGGCAGGGCAGGGCAGGCCAGGGCAGGGCAGCTCCTTACCTGAGCTCCTGCCGGACGGCTTCTGGGGAGTTGCCGTGGATGATGAAGATGTCCTTCATGTCATCGTACAGCATGTTGCAGGAGTAGCCGATGTTCACGGCAGTCTCTGGAGAAGAAGGGGAGGGGGAGGATTCACACCCCTGCGCTCAGGAGAGGGATTTAGGCCTTGCGCCCCCTGTCGGCCCGGGTGTCCAGTGTCCTGAGAGCACACCTTGAGGCCCCCAGGAACGGGGCGCACACCCTGCACCATGAAGAGGACACGAGGCTGGCGCCTGGGACTGGTTAGGGTGCCCGGGGCACTGTGCCTGCGTCCCCACTCTTCTCTTTTACAATGATTGATCAAGGCTCTTTAACCCCAGCGAGACAGTTCAGTGGTTTAGGGCCAGAGGGTGGGCGTTTGATTCCCCCCCCCCATGTGCCTCCCCAGGAGAAGAGCCAGCCGGTCCGGCCCTGGGCAAGCGGCACCGTCCCAGAAGAAGGGAAGGGTAAACCCCGCTCTGGGTATTCTGGGCCTAGGAAAGCCAAGAAAGAGTTCCCATAATTTGGAACTGACTTGACAGCACACAACAGTCTTTATGTCCAACTCTCTGCCACAAGGAACAAAGAGGATAGGACAAAATACCTGAGATGACTGTAAAATGTTAAAGCAGCTCAAAGCACATAAGGCCACCTAGTCAGTTGGGAAGGCACTGTTTTAGGATCCCGTCTCTCACCAAGAGCTCCTCTGGCCGCCTGGATCCCCACCTTTCCTTTACCTTGTTTGTCTCCCGTCAGGACCCAGATTTTGATCTGGGCTCTTCCCAAGGTCTCAATGGTCTGGGGGACCCCGTCTTGCAGCTTGTCCTCAATGGCGGTGGCCCCAAGCAACTGCAGGGGGGAAAGAGAGCCGAGGTCTGGATCTGTGCTGGAGGGCGTGTGTGTGTGTGCGCGCGCGCATGCATACACATACACACAAAGAGGAAAGAGGGAGAAAGGGCTGCTGTCAAAGGGGTGATTTTGGAAAGAACCAACTGGTAGCCCACCACACTCTTGGCTGAGTCACCGTACTGTTTCCGCCCAACCGGTCAATGTGGCTGAAGCCAACTCTGGCAGGTGTCCGTGGCTCAGGTAACGGCTTGTAAATTGTGTTAACGGAGGGGAGCAGGGAGCTTTAATGACCCAAAGGCTGAAAGGACTCCCGGCTCAAGAAGCTGGAAGGGATCACAAACCCTTCCTGTCACCTGCATGGATAAGTCTCCCTTGCAGAAAAGGCCCTTTGGGGATTTCAAAGCAGCAAAAGAGGCCAGCCGGGCGGCCCCAGCAGGATCCCCCGAGTGGCTTTTCAAGAGGAGGAGAGGATCCTCCTGGGGACTGGAAGGAAAGGCAGGCCTCTCCAGAAACATCTAGAAGACCAAGGGTTCCCAACCTTGGGGTAGCCCAGGGGTTCTTGGACTGTGGTTCCCAGAAGCCTTCGCCACCGGCTGTTTCTGGGAGTTGCAGCGCAAGGACCCCTGGGCTACCCAAGGTTGGGAACCCCGGTTCTAGAGCAGCCATTCTCAACGGGGGCCATATGGTTCCCTGAGGGGGCCTGACACTTTGAAGGGGGCCACAGACTGGAAATAATTCTTCACCACCTTATAAGGTTCATTATGTGACTTATCCAGTCCTGACTCTGCCCAGATGTCCTTCGTAGGGTGTTTATGGCCATGGCCAAAACAAACAAGCAAACAAACAAGGTGGAGGAGGGCAGCTCTAGAGGAGCAAGCCAGCAGTGGAACCGCATCGGATGCCCCCAGGAGGGAGGAGGAAGGCCTTGACCACCCTCGGAAGCGAGGAGACGCTGGCTCAAGGTGCTGCGGGACGGCACCGCCGCAGGTCACTGAGGAAAGAAACTGTTCTGGGGGGGGGGAGAGCTTGGAGTGGGCTCTGGAAGGGGAGCCTGGGAACCCCTGCACAAGCTCAGTGCACAGAACCAGAGACGCCCCCAGCGCCTCCCAAAGGAGCTTTTCCTTTGAAATAAAGGACGGCTTTGGAAAGCACGCCGCCCCCCTGGAAGATGTAGATCCACGGCTCAGCACGGGGGCTCCCGGAGCAGAGCGCCCACCCCCGTGCCCCTGCTCAGCCTGGCAAAGGGTGCCCCCTGTGCCCCCTCTGGCAGGAGGTGGGCCTGGCAACGGCCACGCCTGCCCAGGTAGTCCCTTGGTGGACCCCAAGGCCTGGCCGGAGCCGGCCTCTGGAAAGCCCCTCGACACCTCTGCTCCAGCTCCAGGTGCCCCTCTAAGTTCTGGCTTTGGCCTTCCAAGCCCGACATGGGGAGGGGGCCAAGCTTCTGGGAAGGGCCATACCCTCGGCCGGGGTTAAGCCCGGGAGGCCCGAGAGCCAGCACTCCTCTAAAAGAGGACGTCAGAGATCCCTCTGACGCCTTCCGCGGGGACACTTCCGCGCCCCTGGAGGATACGCTTCCACCAGTAGCACTTCCACACGCCTGGCCGCCCCTTGTCAGTCATCCGCCCTACCCCCTGGGGTGTTTCTTAATTTGTTCTTTTGTCGCTCTTTTGAGATTTCTTCCTCAGTGTATCTCTTTCTGTGCTAACGGCAGCATTAACTGCATTGGATAATTTTTTAAAAAAATAGAAAGATGAGGCAGAAATTCTCCGAAGGGTGAATAAGAGAGCAGCTCTGCCTGCAGAGGGGGCTGGCCCCGAGGGGCAAGCCAGCCATGGGTGTGTGTGCGTGCTCAGACCCTCCACAGCAGCCAGCTTTACATTTTGGGACACCAAATCGCTTCTGGCTGCTCCCTTCCGGCTCCTGTCGAGTTAGTTCCTAGCACGGAAGGAATCCCTTCTGCCAAGGCCAGGCTCTCCAAAGCGCTCCCCAGTCCAAGCAGAAGCTTGGAATCTAGGGCACGGCAGGGGAAGAGGCGCCAGGGCGACAAAAGCGGTCTAAGTGGCCGTGCCGAGTTTGATCCGTTCCCTGCAAGCGACTGAAGCCCCCACTCCATCCTTGGCCCGTGGCCCCCAGACCGGGCACCCACCAGCAGGTCCCGCTCAATTTCGTCGTAGAGTCCAGAGAGCTTCTCCTCTCGGTCATGCAGGGCAGTGCTGGCCTCGTGGTGGCGCTTCTGCCAGTCCTCAAAGTAGGTCTCGTTCAGGTCTCTGTAGGCCACGACCAAGGTCCTCAGGCCTTCCCCGGCAAATTCCTTAGGGCGGTGGGGGGGAGACATAAGAAGAGGTGGAGGAGGCCCAGGCCAGCCAGCTTGGCCCCAGACAGGGTGCCTCCTCTGTGGGAGGAACCCCCTTTCTGGTTTCCAGAGACAGGAGGGGGCAGCAAAAGCCCTTGGGAGGGGGAGCCCCAAGGAACATGGGTGCAGCCACCAGTACCCTGGGAGGGGAGGGAGACCCGGCCGGCAGCCCAGAGATAAAAACATGGAAGTGCAGGTCCAAGAGGCCAGCCAGCTTGGCCCCAGACAGGGTGCCTCCTCTGTGGGAGGAACCCCCTTTCTGGTTTCCAGAGACAGGAGGGGGCAGCAAAAGCCCTTGGGAGGGGGAGCCCCAAGGAACATGGGTGCAGCCACCAGTACCCTGGGAGGGGAGGGAGACCCGGCCGGCAGCCCAGAGATAAAAACATGGAAGTGCAGGTCCAAGGTGGGAGAG